TTAGAAATCACCAATCCTACAAATTACCACCTTCTTGATATCATGCACCACTCTCTCTCTCTCTCTTCTCTCTCTCTCCTCTCTCTCTCTCTGTCTCTCTCTGTCTCTCTCTCTCTCTCTCTCTGTCTCTCTCTGTCTCTCTCTCACGAATTATATAATTCAAAGTCCCCTATCCCCTCTTGTGAATTTTGGGCAAATATTTGAGAGGTTAGCTTGCATGACTAGCTTCCCAAAACTAGATCAAGTAGGGCCATTATCACGTGCTATCGGAGTAGGGCAATCTTATGGGTTGTAACTACGATCTTAATCGGTAAAAATTGATCCACATGGGGCTTCCCATTATTTGAGTTCATGTGCACAATTGGTGATATTTGCGTACGAGGAGATTGACATTTTATTGTATTCACGTGTATGTAATTTGTTTTATTTAATAGCCTAAGGTTTATAGGCTGCATTTAGCATGTAATATTGAGTAAGTGATGATCTGGTATGTAATATTGAGTGGCTAATGTTTATTTGGCCAATCTCCATGTTATATGATGGGTGGAACTAGTGTTCAACCAAGTTGAGGTATTGTAATAATCTGTTGGGACGTGTATATGTATAAAATTTTGAGTTATGTGACTCGATATGTTGCTGTGAATTCAAGTTAAAGGTTGGTTTTGTTGTCTTCAAGAGAAACTTTTTCTTGTTTTGTTACCTTGAGCAAGGCCTCTTGACACCCCAACAGATGATTGAGTACAACCACAGAAGTCAAATCTTAGCCTCCATATGCAAATAAACTTAATGTTCCCCACCTGATCCATGACGAGGGGCTAAATTGACATAAGAATTAAGAAACTATAAAAATGTATTTCAGTGTGTGCTTTGTTATTGGGAAAAACCTAAGGTTCAAACTCTTGACCTACCTCATGCAAACTGGATGTGGACAACTAGACCAAGCCCAAGTGACTCACAAGTGATACAATTAGCTTCCTCTATTGATGCCATAACTGGTGGGGAAATAGAAGGGACTAAAACACCTAGTCTACATGGCAACATCAATAACAGTTCCCCAGGTACATCAGGTAATACACTTTTGAAACACGTGCTGTCATTTTACATCTTATCAATGCTAGAGGGATTCGAACCCCCGGTATTCCTATCAATACTTCCGTTTTCTAAACGGTAGACTTGCGGTATTTCAATCACACTGTGGAATCTTCAACTATGATATTGCATGCTTAAGTTGATGGTGAACAAATCTGTATGTTTGGGTCTAAAAATCCACCTATTAGCAAGCTCAATATTATGTATAATCTAGAGTTAGGATGAAGAACGACATTTGTCTTCAATATTAAGTTAGACTTGAAGTTCATCAATAAATTCCCTCAGCAAAAATTATATTGAAGACTTTGCATGGACAGCCCACAAAAGGCAAGAAAATAGTGGGTAACCACTTATTGGCAAAAGACATTAGACACTAAGAATTGTACACAAAATAAAATACTCCCCATTATGCCAGACATCAAGTATATGTGTAAGATTCTTTAACAGAGTATAACTGAACAGTGACAGAGGAACTTACAGAAAATTTCATAGTGAATTACTGTGGGATAAGACCTCCAAAATAACTGACAAAACATGTAGATTGAAAGAAAATCTCCATCATCCAACATCCATAATACCTTAGAAATACAGCTTGGTGCAGGTATAATTTCTTCTGTAATAAATGATAATAGTGTAATGGTATACTTTTAACACTAAAAGAGTAGCTTAGAAGCAAATTCATAATGAATTATTGTAAAGAAACCTCTTCAAGAAACCCCATATACCACATATGGCATCAAATTTCCACCACTCAAGAACCTCAGAATTGTACCTTATTGCCAGGAATAATTTCTTTCGTGATCAATGATATTGGAGTGTACTCTATGGCAATAACTTCAGAGAAACCATCAGTAAGGCAGAACCGTAAAAGGCGTCGATGATGTTGCAAACTTGTTGCAGAGGCCTCAATGGTGCTTTGACCGACATCTTTAACAAAGTTAACCTGTTTAAATATGAATAAAAGGTTATTAGTGGGCAATCATTTCCATACATACAAAGATCAAAGTATACACCCAACATATTTATCTAAATAAAAATTTGAATGAATAACTGTTGAATTTTCAAGAATATGAATGCACATTCTAGCAACACCTGAGTTCACATTACGATAAACTGAATTTTATTGCCTACTAGTGAAACAACTACGCAATTTCCATGGGTTACTTCAGTCTAAGAGTAAACTTTGAGTGTTAAGAATGCCGATCAAATAGTAGAGGAAAGCATGCTTTGTTATTTTCAATTGATAGGAAAGCATCAAACTTAATGTTTCAGTTACAATTAATGTTCATAGAAAGTTTCTGTTCTGTCCAAAATAAAAAGTGAAAATCTACCAATTCAACCCAACATGCATAGACGAACAGAAAAGATGCTGCATACAAACATGTAGGCTATCAAACATTTTCTCCATAGAAGAGAAAATAAAAAAAAGCTATAGGCAAAAAAACACAATCTTAACTCCTCAAACAGATACATGCGTCAAACCCTTCAGTTATAGATATGGTGTGCAACAAGAAGGAAAGCGTTTATAGTGCCTAGTGCTTTAAATTCCCCTCAAGTATTTTGTTGCCTGAGAGATGAGAGGGTGGACAATGCTGAGAGCATAGTTCTGGTAGACAATATCTGTGACCAAAAGGTATCTCACAAGACCAGGGTCCTCATATTCTCCACTTTGGCCATAAATAAGTTTCCAAGTACCCAACCAATAAATGCTATTCGTTGGCAGAAATATTGAACCCTGACTGACTTAGGCATCACTCGCTAAAATGGACTAAGTTACCTCCAGAACTGCCTCTAATTGGAGTGATTTTTTGCAATTATTTTGGTACGGGTTTGTCCATCTCTTTACACAATACGATTACTACAAGAAACAAAAATGTTGAAAAAAAAAGGCTTGAGTTAACGCATGCCTTTTGTGTATCAACTTCCATCCAAAGGATCTGAATTCAACTGGAAAACTCAGAGTGGGGCAAAAGCTATAGAAAAAACCAGACATTAGTTTCAATGTTCATGTATCAGAATGTCCCCTCCTTTCCCTCTCCAAGTCTAGTAAAGTTGTGAAGCGTAAACCTAGCTGTTGGTCTTCACCATAGTAGCAACCAAGATCCTTCCTAGCTGTTGGTCTTCACCATATAGCAACCATGATCTTTGGAGCCTTGCCCAGATTCGCACTGTCATACCATCATATCCACCTCGACTTTTAGTACCCACATTATTGGTAATAAAATTCCAGGATATCAATATTGTAACCATTGCACAACTTTTTCACAGAGTTATATCAGAACAAACTCCTTTTGCTTTTGGTAAATTGATGGGAGGTAGAAACCAGATTTGAAATAACAGATTTTACCATATAAACAGATGTTTTCTCACATTATATTCGTGTTTGCAGAGACAAGTCAAGGTTTTGGGGTTCTAAGAAGGTAAAAAAAAATGTTGCTTCAATGCAGATATATAAATCATTTCTCGAAAACTTTAAAGGATAAAACTACTAATAAGCGACACCAAATACTTCTCTAAAACTCAACTTGTTAGATCACGGATCAATAGCAGCCATTACAGTTGGTGAACAATATTTACTTATCAAAATAAATAAATAAAATGGCATCCATGAAATCAGAGCGAAAAGCATAGCTAGTACCATCTTGACCTTGAATCCAAGCTCACCCAACCATGCTTCCATAAATAAATAAATAATCAAACTGATAAAACACATGAAAAATCAATTAACAAACAAGCAAGCAAATGGTTTTAACTTGGTTAAGTGTGTGGCTGAAAAAAAAAATGGAATAATTGCTGAAAACAAATGGGAATAAGAGGAAACTTGCCTGTAATATCTTGGGACCTTGAAGATGTGAATGTCTTTTAAAATTGGAAGGATCAGGCAGTGATTTTGCACCCACCAATCTCAAATCCATGTTCAATAGCTCTGTTTCAATATCTTCCCAAGACACAGTGTTCTCCTCTGTATTGAACTTGTTGGTGATGAGCTCACGAATCTCTGCATTGTTTCTAAACCACCATCCTCTTCGAGTGAGATGATCGATGATGGTCCCTATAGAATCAGAGACCATCTCCATGGGTTTCGTTTACAACAAAAAGGCAATCCCTATAGAATCAGAGACCATCTCCATGGGTTTCGTTTACAACAAAAAAAGCACACACTCTCTCTCTCCTGTGAATATTACTGAGTAAGATTGAGAAAGGTGGCTCTTACAGAATCAGCAAACTTCTCCATGGTTTCAAGAAACGCTAGCTGCGCAAACTTCGCTCTATTTCTCGAGTTCTAAGAACCTGGAGTTTCCAATCCAGACAATGCGAAAGACGTGGCTTCGAAACATGGAGTTCGGATCTCTCGAGTTCTACGAACTTATAATTTCCAATAGAGAACAATGCCTAAACCTGGTTTAAAAAACGGATCGTTGCCCCAACAGTTCGAATTAGAAATCGACCGAATCGGTTGGATTCGGCGATAAAAAGATCTAAAAAAATGATTAAAAATCATTATAAATGTTATTTTTTAGGAATCCAATAAGAAATGGGGGTTAACTTTATTTTTTCATTAATATACGAATATTCTTTCTCTGTATGAACTTATATTAACCATTAAATTTACATCACACAAAAGAAAAATTATAGAATTATCATTGATATATTAACCATTAAATTTACATCATACAAAAGAAGAATTATGTAATTATCATTGATAAAGTATGTAATCATACATAGACTACAATAAAGCACATCATTCGTAAACTACGACCAAAACCCCGTAAAATAATAGCTCACCACGACTACAACTCCACATCAAAAAAAAAAAAAAAGGACCCCCAATAAACGTCAAGAGAATATGAAAATGAAAACCAAAACCAAGAATAAAAATGACAACCCAACAATGATTCAAACACGAAAAATCAAATTTCATACACTCAGACAATCTATAAGGGAAATTCATAAAAATAAATAAATAAATACAACAATCAACCTTCTACGTGTTCATATGCAAAGACCCCCCAAAAAACATTCGTAAAAAAAGAAGAAGTACAAAACAACAAATCGTGTTACCTGATTCTGATGAAATTTAATCTTAACACGATCATTTTAAAAAAAATTGGATCAAATTGATGGAGAATGGCCCCATGATTCACGGTTTTACAGAAAACCAAGCCCTCTAAAAAAGTCGCGAATCTCGCTCCAAAAAAAATAAAATTGTAAAACTAAAATACAAAACAACAAATCATAGTACCTGATTTGATGCAAGCATGTATTACCACATCTATTCATAAAAAAGAATGGATTAAATTGATGAAAAATGGCCACCAAAATCTAAAATTGGCGGAAAACCCTAATCCACTAAAAAAAAACCCAAATTATTGCAACCTAACTAGCTATAATACAAAATTATTACAGCCTAGCTAACTATAATATTATATATTGAAATTGAAATTGTTGATTTACATTTTATAATTATTTTACTAAACAAATAATAACAAATCCAAAATATTTTATAATATCATCTAATTTAAAATATATTATTGACAACTGTAAGAAAGAATAGTACATTATATAATTTATAATGCAAATAAATTAATCAATAAAATACAAGATTTGGTTATCAATATAGAAATTATTAAAATGTGCACTAATTTTCGAAATAACGCTTTAATTTTTCAAAAATCCAAATTTTTTAGGTTTTTAGCATAGGAATTTGGAGCTAACTTGACGTTTGATTAACTTTCAGTCTAGTTTCCCTAATAAAATCCTTGCTACTAACTTTTCTAGATTATGGGAAGCAGATGACAATATTGGTAACCTAAAATCTAGGACTTCGTTTGATAAATTGTGTTGCTAGCATTTTAACATGTTTGTCATCGGGAAACTGATTGATATATATATATATATATATTATGGGTGTGGTTTATATAAGATTGCAACCTTAAACAATTCAATTAAGGCGCACCTCTAAATTTTATCATAAATGTAATTTTGATATAAAAAATTCTTAGGATGGATTGAGAATCTATTTTCATCCCTAAATTTAAAATCTTAAACTCTAAAAATGATTCAAATCAAATAGATCTATAAACACATGAAAATTAAGAAAATAGATGGTCCAAATAATGTGTTATAAGATACATTATTTTGCAGACTTGAAATCTTTTTTCCTTTTCAGATTCCTACATCTTGATGTCAAGATGATTAATTAGAGGGTTTTCCAACATCCAAACAACCTTTTGTGAAGGATTTTTGAGGTGCATCTTTATTTCTACATTTTAAGGTTGCTAGCTTATATAAACTTTTTCTCCTTAATAAGGAGAATACTAAAAAAGAAAAGGGAAAAGAACCAGCAATGTTCAAACCTCCCCCAAGTATAAATAAAGACACTTTTAAGCTGCATCCTGACAAGAAACAAAATAATGAATGAGTTGGTCAGTAGGTTAGCTAAGATGGACCTTTCAAAAAACCCAACAACTTCTGGGAAAAATAAAGGCCAAGTTAATACTCTCCAAGAGAATGGCCATAGTTATTCGGAAGAAGAATTAAACCAGTTAGAACAAATTTTTAGTAATACTGAAGTACATGATTTCAAGATAAATAGGATTTCTTATGTGAGAAAGACAATCCCGACGGCCCCTATAAAGATGTATTATACTAGACCCACCCCAGTAGACCTTCAGATTGAAGAATATTATATAGATAAGCTAGCCCAATATGACGGTAGATCTATTGTGGAATGGAATATAGATGGAATGTCTGAATACTAGGTAATCAACCTGATGAAGCATATGATAATGTATGCTACAACTTCAAAACAAAACTGCAATAAAGACTCTGACATGGCCAAAGCTATAGTTTATGGTTTTACAGGGCAATTAAGAGGTTGGTGGGAATTCTATTTAGAAGATAGTGATAAAAACCAAATTATAGGAGCCAAAAAAATATAATGTATGGATTGAAACTAGTCCAGCAGTTAAACATGAAGGCCTAATAGAAGAAGGGGATGTGGTTAATACCCTAATCTATACTATCACCCTACATTTGGTAGGGAGTAGTTGTTTGAAGACATTTTTAGCACCTTGGTCCTTGATGCGAAATAAAGATGAAGCAGATCAATAAAGCTTCAACATACAATGGAATTCTTGACAGTCTCATAATAACCCAGAACATGTAGAAATCTTTCTAAACACTTCAAAAGGCCACCTGTCAAGTTTCATCACAATCAGACGTGTCCAAGGCAGTGAAGACAAAGAAACAATTTCAAAAAAACATCAGCCTCTAGCACCTTGAAATGGACCCTAATACTAGAACTATATTTTCGGCGCGTCAAATTGCTGTGGGACCACTGCCATTGGATCTGACATGGTAGAAAATCTCTTTGGGTCAAGTTTCGACTTAATTGGGCACTCCAGGATAAAGTTATGGATAAAATACCGAAAAGGTGTAGGCCGCACATTATTCCCGTGTGGCCTTCCTGTACCAAAACACCATTAAAGGTGGTTATTTTTATAGTCACGGGTAGTGACTTTCGGGGTTCATATCTCACTCGTTCCGATTCGGATCGCTCTCAAATTTTGTGAGTGTGTTCATCCCGTCAAGACGAGAGTTTTGATATGTGGTACACCCCGTAATGACGTCCGAGCAAGGAAAAAAGCTAGAGAGAAGTTGTTGATCCATGAAGAAAGTTGTAGAAAAATCAACAACAGCATGCCTCACTCGAGTGGCCAAATCACGGCGCTTGCGTACCCGATCGACGAGAAACCAATTGTATTATGTGTGTAATTTCTGAGGCTATCTCTGATCCGAACCCTGCATACGATGAACGGTTGGATTTCACAACATGGAGGCGTCGAAGCTGCTGTAAATTTCGGCCACCAGATTTCAAGATTTTGACCAAAACCCCAAGACGACGAAATCTTCAAGCGGATACGAAATCGAGCTGTGTTTGTTGATACGCGATCGTGATGGCATGCTTAGTGAACTACGACGAAGAAATTATGGAAAAACATCAAAAAACGAGCACACCATCGATTCAAAGTTTTCAAGATTCAAGCAAATTTCAAGTCTCATGATTGTGGCTTAAAAACACGATTCATGGCTCGAAGTTGATTTCAAATCGATAGTCATGCTGAGCCCAACAAGAAAACAATCATCATCAGTTAAATGGGCATCAAAGTAACCCCAGATCATCCACGAAAGATCATGCAAGTTCTCAGGTAGCAGTAGGGACTGTTATAGAATTCCATACATTGTTAGGCAGAGGCAGTTCTTTTGCACCCATTTTTAAAATTTCTTTTAATTCAATTAAATTGTAATTATCATCAATTTAGGTAGTTTTTGAGCGTCCACCCATGTTTGGGCCCAATTCTATATAAACACGTGAAGCCTAATTGTAAAGGACTTTTGGTTCAAACCTTCGATCATTCAATAAAATTTCAATTCTTGCTTAAGTTCGTGAGTGCATCTTGGAGAGAGAGAGAGAGAAGAGAGAAGAAAATGGCTGGTACCCCTCGGTAAGGTAACTTTCTCTCTCCTCCTCTTTTCTCTCATCTCCATTTCTCTTTCTCTCTGCTCTTTTCTCTCATTTCCATCTCTCTTTCTCTCCTCTTTTCTCTCTCATCTCTATCTCTCTTTCTCTCTCCTCTTTTCTCTCTCATCTCTATCTCTCTTTCTCTCCTCTTTGCTCTCTCGTCTCTATCTCGTTTTCTCTCCCTTCTTTTCTCTATCTTTATCTCTTTCTCTCTCTTCCTCCTCTGCTTTATCACTTTCCTCTTTCCTTGTACTTCTCTCTTTTCTCCATTCACGCATGGCGGACTCATCGTCTAGTGGGACGTCTTCCTGCTTTTGAGACATGAACAGTGAGTTGGGTCTTAACCTGAGTGGCGGGGCGGGCCTTTGTGAAAACTCTCTCTTTCCTCTCCGCCGCCTTTGCTTTCTCTCTTTTTCCTCTCTTCTGTCACAGCCGATGGAAGCACATTGCCGCACGTGCCTTCTCTCTCTTCTCCATGTTGTCATAGCTGGCTGAAGCACATCGTTGCCTGTGTCTTTCTCTCTCCTCATTTATCTCACAGTCGGTGGAAGCCTATCGTCGCCTGTGTTCTTTCGCTCTCATCTTTCTTGTGTCACAGATGATGGAAACCTATATCTGCCTGTGTTCTTTAAACTTCCTCTTTCTTCTATCATAGCTGGCAGAAGCGCATCGTGGCATGTGCTTTATCTCTCTCTTTCTCCTATCACAGACGGTAGAAGCTCATCGCCATCTGAGTTTCTCCCTCCCATCTCATTGTCGTATGTCTTTTGTCCTCTTCCTT